CAGTGCAGGGACCGGGACACGTCTGACCAGGAGAGCCGTCAGTGTAATAACAGGCCATGCAAAGAAGCTTTCACAGGCATGAAAGAAATAAGGAGAGTGGTACAAGCAAGCAGGAGCAGTGTGGTCAGCTTCGGGCATTTATCACTGCCATAGGTACATATACACCAACTGCAAATATTACAGTACCATCCACACAGTGGAATAAGGCACAGACGACCATGTTGAAGCGTGAAACTACATCATAATACCACTGTATTAGAAATTAATATTATGAAGTAATAATATATTTTTCCGAGTAAACGGTTCAAATACAATATATATGTATGCAGCTAGAAACTCCATTTAAATATCTGCTGTGGGTCATTTCTTGAGTAAATGTCATGCTACATTTCTGTAGCTAACTGGCAAAACGTGAGGGAAGGTGTTCCATGAAAACAGGGGCTATTACTCCCCATCATGTTCTCCAGGCGAGCGGCGGCGTCTTGTTTTTTTTTTTAATCTCATGCCCAAATTCACAGGCTTTCATTCATAATTACTCGCCATTTAACTCCAGAGCGGAAATAGCTACCAATCAACAGGACTCACCTGTGTGAACAAACTACCGAACGGCTGCAGTTACCTCACATGCTAGCGAGCTAATTCTCAAGGTTCTGCAAGCAAGACTCCAGCAAAATGTGCAAAGAATACTTCTGTTTCATACTCTTAAAGCTCTTGACTATGGGGCCAACGGAAACTACGGCACGTTCTTTAACGACTGGCGATACCAGTTGACCTTATTTGCCTCACGCAAAATCTGAATGCAGACCAAGGAACAACAGTTAGAGCACAACTAATTGGTTCAAGACTGTGAAAGAGATGAGAAGAGGCTGTATTTTATCACACTGTTTATTTTGAATATAGCATGTGAAATTCCAGGGTAGCTGAAACGGAGAAATATTAACAATCTCAGATATGCGGATGATGCTACTCTGACGGCCGAAAGTGAGGAGAAGCTGAAATGTCTGTTGCTGAAGGAGAAGGCTGGCATCAAAAAAAAGCTAAGATTATGTCACCCAGCCCCAATTATTCTTTACAAATAGGCGGAGAAGAAGAGGAGGCAGTGACTGATTTCATTTCCCTGGGCTCAAAGATCTCTGCAGATGACGGCTGGAGCCATGAAATTAAGATGCCTGCTTCTTTGGGAGAAAAGCTATGGCAAATCTGGACAAGAAATGAAAGCGTGAAGACATCACACTGCCAACAATGGCCCGTACAGTGAAAGCTATAGTCTTCCCTGTAATAACATGTGCTGTGAGCACTGGACTATCAGCGAGGCTGAGAGCCGGAAAATCGACGCTTTTGAACTGCGGTCTTGGAGGAAATTGTCAAGAGTCCCTTGGACTGTACGAAGATAAAAATCAGTCAATACTCAAGGAAATGAAGCCCAGACTTTTCACTGGGAAGACTGATAGCAAAACTGAAACACAAATACTTTGGTCACATAATGTGAAGAGAGGATTCAGAGAATAAGTCTCTGATGCTGGGAAAGATCAAAGGCAGACTGAGATGGGGGTGACGAAAAGCAGAGACGGATTGACAGTATTACTGAAATAATGAAGAGGAGGTTGAAGAAGCAGCTAATGACTGGCAGGCCTGCTAAAGTCCATGAGGTCGCAGAGAGTCGGACACGACCGAACGGATGGTCACATGCTACCTACATGTTCCTGCGGCACTCGCAAACGTGAGCATGAGATACCCACGGTGCCGGACTCTGGTGTGTGGAAACGCGGCGCGTTCTTCAGCCCCTGCAGTAGGCCCAACGAGCGCAGTCAGAGCCGCTTTCGCCACCTGCTTCCACTGGCCTGCCTGTGCTCGCTGACCTGTGCTTTGCCAAGGTGTTCTTAAAACCTCTCAGCAGCCTGCCTTGTGTGTGCGTGCGTGTGTCAGCTCCCCGGCAGGCCCCATGTGTCCGCCTTTGAGCCGTCATATGGTTTACGTGATTATCTCATCAGCGTCATGTTGCCGACACCCAACCCAATGCAATGTGATGTCGGGGGCAGATTAGAGTTGGTGGCCATGGCTGATACTGCATACCTACAGTCAAGGCCATAACCACATTGGTAAAAAGTAGAGATTGTCCTGTACAGTTAATAAAGGCCATCTATGCACTACTTATTAATGTGTCGGTATTTGAGGAAGGAGGTAGAATTCTACCTTTATTAGGAAAACCAAGCTAGAACTGGGTAGAACCAATTTTAGCCTCCAGAACTGCATTAATGGTAGACAGGTTGTTCAGACTTGATCTCCACACCCCTGTTACACTGAGAGGTTACTTTTGCCCTTCCTGTCAGCTTTAACGAGTCTGGCCATTCTCCTCTGACCCCTCTCATTACCAAGGTGTTTTCGGCCACAGAAATGCCAATGAATGGATGCATTTCGTTCTGTGCCATTCTCAGTTACCTCTAGTCATGATAGCGTGTGAATATCACAGGGAGGGTGGCTGTTTCTGAGCAGCGGGAAGCACCTCACCTGGCGCCAACAATCACACCATGTCCAAAATCACGTAAATCACACGTCTTAGCTGTTCCAGTGCTCTGCCCTATACTAACCGAACGTGCCTGTGTTCTGCATATATTTCGATTCTCTGTTTGGAGGAGCAGGCCGTGTGTATCAACGTTCTTGTGTATCTAATAGATTGGTGGCTGGGTGTATTTTTCAGAAATGTCACTTGTTGGAAGCTTGTGGCATGTCTTCATTTGTAGGTATATAGGGCCGCAGTGACATCATCGCCGGGTGCGTTCCATGCGGTCATTAAGCTCCTGCCTCACTGCCTCTCCCGCCTGGCCGCGCTCGGAGCCCCTCTCTCTCCCTCTCTCTCAGTGTCTCTCTCTCTCCCACCGTGCATCTCGCACACTTAGCGCTGCCACAAGCTGTTTCCCAGTCGTGCTGCTTCATTGCCCACCAGTGCCTGGCACACACACAGTCAGAACCGAGACAAGTTACACAAACAATTTTGTATTGCTTTCTTCCAATGGGGACTTCCTGTTGACTCACACTCTATTTTGCATCTTCATTTATTTATTTATTTTTTATTTTACAAAGGCTTTGGTGCCTCGAGTTGAAGAACAAACGACCCACCTGTGCCAAGTACAGGGAAACTGGAGGGAAAAAAAGAACACTTTCAAGCATATGCTTTGGATTTGGAATTGAAATGTTTAATTCTGCAGCAGGTGACCTTAATTCATAGCATTTTATACAGCAAATGGTCCCAGAATCACCATGTTCTGCAAACCATTTATACAGCAGGTGTTAAGCTCGAATGGCTAGTGAAAATTACCTTGATAAAAGGCAGTGCTCCTAAACTACAGCAATTTGCTTGCAATTTACTCACAATTTTTTGCACATTTCCTTGTTGGTAAAACAGCACAGTATTGCCCAGTGCAAAAAATCATGATGGAATTTGTATCCTATACAGTAAAGGGGTCTACAGACCACAGAAAACCTTCACAGGCATCACTGGCCAGTTCTTCAACCCGAAGTATAATGGCATACTACTAATGAACAAGCTTTAACAAGCTCTAATGAGCTTTAACACTGTAAGACTCCTATACTGTAATGTTAGGCAGGTGGAACACAGAAGGACCGGTCAAAACTCTCTTATCGGGTTTTATACAGGACGTTGACCCTTTGCATGCCAGTTACCCCACAAACCCTTTCAGAACTACAGTAATAACAGAACACACTCCAGCTATTTTTACATTTGGTACCAATATCTCTCCATGGCAACGCGGCGCACTCACGTTAGGCTGGGGTACAATTAAAACCCGTCATTGTCGTTGTGAAGGCGACGTGACTTCAGGGCCCACAGCGCCGTTCAGAGGGACTCCAGTCAACGGCCCCTACTTAGAGCCTTTCAATCTGTATGAACCTAGTAGGGTGAAGTTTTTAAATGCACTGGGCGTGGGGTTGATACAGTAATGCATGCTCCTTCCAAGGGGAATGGGGGGGGAGGGGGGAGGCTATAAATTATAGTGGGGAATTACTACTAAGTGTGGGCATAAATTAAAGAGCGCTTGCATCTGTAAACACAGTCTGACTGCGTAATTACTGCACACTGCTGCTGGGGGGTGGGGGCTCGTGTCAGCCGGAGACACTGCGTACCGGAGAGGACCACCAGGAGGGGCCACGGAGGGCCATGGACACCCTGCCGCATTCAGGGGGCCCTAAATATGAAAAATAACAATATATACATCTGAAAAACATACATCCACTCGGCAAATTCAACTACCTCATGGCTCAGTCACTTTTCTCCCTTTTTCTTATTAAGCCAAAGTGACTTACAGTACAGGAAGCGGTTACAGTTTATGGGTACTCCCTGGGATTTTATTTATTTATTATTTATTTATTTACTGGCGCAGTGCTCTACAATGCCCCACCCACCCCAATTTGGTCAGCTACGCCCCTGCCTACCAGGCACCGTGTGCATCACGCTCACAGCAGCAAGAAAGCTCACAGGAGCCTTGTCAGCTCACAGGAGCCTTGTCAGCTCACAGTAGCCATGTCAGCTCACAGTAGCCATGTCAGCTCACAGTAGCCATGTCAGCTCACAGGAGCCTTGTCAGCTCAGCACCAGGTTACCGTTCCAAACCCACCTCGGAAGATGAAAAGCGCCCACGGAAATGATTGCCTGGACAGAATGTGTGATGGAGCAATGAGGCAATGTCTGCCCAGGAACCCACGGTTCTGACTAGATCCACAGTTGAGAGGGCGGACGGACGGACCCATAAGCAGTACCCTAACCCCAGAACCACCTCCAGCATCTAGGCAGTCATGTTTACCAAAGCCCGTCATCTCTATCGCTGGCATCTCCAGGTCTTCCTGATTTGGGCCCAACAGTATTCCTGCCTTCCTGTCAGAGATTTGGGGAGGAAGAGGAGGTGTGCCAGAGGTGCAATGGCCAAGGTCACCACGGGGGGGCGCCGTCTTGCTACCGATGCCTACGGGGCTCCGGGCTTACTCACGCTTGGCAGGTAGTCCATACGCTCCTGTGATTTTGGCCTGGCCAGTCTCACACCCCCCCAGGGTGGCGCACTCCTTCTTCAGGAGGGGCCCCGCCCCTCGGTGGATGGACCCGTCCACTGTGAGGAGGAGGGAGAGGGAATAGATAAGTCATGAGAGCAGCGGGCCCAGAAGCTGTGCCACCTGCCAGTCCCCAGCGGGGTCATTATCAGCCCCGTATCTGGGTGTCTTCAGTCTCCCCTTTTAAGAGCCCTCACACTGAGAGGGACGGCTAAAGGAACTCAACTCACATCATTATTACTGCACTGCAGAGCTGGAGTACTGGTGAGACTGAACACTGGCACAACTGGCAAAACCAGTGCTGTAAACACACACACACACACACACACACACACACACACACAGAGGATTGCAATTATATCTTTGTGGGCACTCTCCATTCATTTCTATGGGGATCTCTAATGGGGACATTTGTATCCCCACAATGTAATATATACATGACACCCCCCCCCCACACAAACACACAGTATTGTATCCCCCCCCCCCACACACACACAGAATCATTGACTAGAAATGTGAGGATTTTACTGCAGTGCTATACCAATAATCCGTTTATTAACAGTAACTGGTTACCTACTGGCACTAATAAACACCGTCAATGTAAGCAGCTGCTGATTGTCAGAGCTGATCTGTAGTTATGGCTGCAGCTGTCTTTCTCCACACCCTCTGTGCTCCTGACTGTTTAGGTCAGGCCCCATGTCCAGAGGTAGTATGGCAGGGGACTCGAACTGGCAACCTTTCATTCACAAGATGACATCCTTAAGCACTGTGCCGCGGGCCGCTGCAGGCCTTGCAGGGATCCCTGGCGAGGTAACACTGCGCTCCGAGGTCTATCGCTTACGGTCAGAGCCAAACCTCGGCTCACACTTCCATCGTCCCTGCAGGCTGCGTTTTCATCACCGTGACACCCGGCAGCCTAGCTTACGGCCTCACTGGCCCCACCGTCAAATCAGCGAAATAGCCATTCCATCCAATCGCAGGGCAGTTTCATGAACAATCCAGATCATGTGCTCAGACTGGAAGGGGGTGGATTCAGAAAATTGGACGATATGACAGCAAAGAAAGCAGCTATTAAGTGGCATGGGGAGGTGAATATATGGGTATGGAGAAGAATCAAGGAGAGACAGGACAAGCAGAATAATAACAGAACCTTATAGGGAGACAGATAAACAAGTTTCCTTTGATCAGAAAGAAATTGTTACTGAAATATTTGCCGTCAATGCGAAGTGTGCTGCGTGTCTAAGATGAACCTTGACGTAGCTGCTTCGCAGTCTTCAGCACTGTACAGCCCGACAGAAAAAACGTCAGTGCCTTTTTTACCTGATGTAAATCAGTTCTTCTTCTATACTGTGAGATCACTGGCTGGTTAAATAAAAGCTTATGCGTGTGCTTTTATTGCAGATGATGTTGGAGAGCTGGTAGAGGTTGTGTTATTGAAGGAGCAAACAGAGAGATGTTATGACAGAGAGGATTAAAGATGGATGGAGAGGAAGAGGTGAAACGGAGGAGACGGAAACACTGGGGTGATTGTGCACAGCTCAGTTAATAGAGCTCAGTGAGTCAGAGTGTTTGTGCGAGGGAGAGAGTCAGTCTGTGTGTGTGTGTGCGGGGGCACACTGGCCTTGGGGATCAGCAGCCTTCCTGTGTCACTGGCCGCACCTCCCTTTTATAGAGGCAGACAGGGAGAGTGAGCTCGTTAGCAGGTGCTAATTGGCTCCATGCTAACGAAGCAGGGAGCTACAACATGTCGCCAACAGCCCTCGCGTACACACACACAGACAGAGCCACGGACCACGGCCAAGATTTTCTGCAGCAGAAGGTTTAGCCCTAGCTACAGCTGATCCCTGCACAGATTTCACAGGGAAATGGCAGCCAAATGTAGGGAAAATAAAGGCCCAACCCTAAATCAGCCTCTTTCCAGACAGCGCAATTCAACCTGAACTCTCTACAACGCAAGCTCAGAGAACCGGGGTGCCGAGGGACCCCGACACGAGCTGATATGGTGAGCGAGTCCCTCGAAAACACAAACACCCCCGGCGGGGGAGGCGGCTTAAGCGAGTGCGCTACTGCGGCGCGCCGAGGGATTAACCGACACATGACTTCTAACCGAACAGGCACGGCGAGATTAACCAGTCACAAAGAAACAGCAGGACACTTCGCACAGACGAAGAAGTGAGCCAGACAGCGAGGTCACACGACACGGTCGCGCATAAGCGGCTCGTATGACTGCTGGCGGGCTGGAGGCCACAGCCATTGGGCCTCGAATGTCAGCACGGTCCATCGGGAGACTGAGTGACGGCGCGTCTGTTTAGTGGGCAGCACACCTTCCCCGGAAGGTGACTGCTGGCGGCCTGACAGAAACTCCGCCTACCTTTACCCTGATTGGTGGGTCCCATTCACATGGGCTGTCTGGCAACACGCACCGGCACGTGCCCACTGGTGACCGGCCATCGGTCAGGGGCATCGGGCCAGTGGCCACGCATCCATCACGCGGGCCTCCGAATCCCTTGCCGGAAGTGCGGCTGACTCATTTCCGTCCTCTTGGGGGCGCCTGCATCCTGTCTCAAGGCCGGCGCCCGGAGGGTGCCTGAACTCCGGCCCTCGTCAGCCGATTCACTCTCACGGCCTTCCTCCCCTGCCCCATGGAAGCCTACCATTCTCAATGCACTCATTTGTGTTCTTTTCTGCCCTCAGTTAAGCACGAACGCTTCAGGAAGCCCTGTCCTTACAGACAGCTCATACAGTATTTATACTGCTTACGAACGGTGATTCTCAAAAAAAATCAATAGGAAATTTGAAGTGTCTGTCTATAAATGTGAGTTTCTCTCTCTGAATGGCTTCTCCGTGTCTCTTTTCACTGCACGCAGTTATATAACTGGCGCTGGGGATGCTGTGCCCATCAGTCCAGCATCACCTCCAAAACAGGGTCAAAAACACACCCGCTGGGCAGTGGGGCTCCGCCTAGAACAGGGAGCAGTGTGTGTGGCAGTGCCACCGCCATGGCGGGAAGCCCCACCTCACCTGCGAGAGAGCCACGGGCTGGAAACAGCGCAAACAAAGTTCACCGTGAGCGACTGGAATGGCAGCAGAAAGGCCCCCTAACCCTAACCCTAACCCCACCTACTCAGAGAGCCTCTGTTTCATCAATTCCGGCAAAAGTCTAAGGTCAACAAAGAAAGTGTTTAAAGCTATTCTGGGGTATCTGGGTATAAAGTGCACATTTGCTCAGAAAAAAACATAACGCAAAACTATAATATATGCAAATTAACAATAACACAATGAAATACATCGTTCTCAAAAAAAAGTTACTGATATCTAGCTGGATGGCTAGATGAACACCGCTTCAGTTTCCAAACCTCTCCTCCGGGGCACCTTAGTCATTTCACATCTTCACTTTCACCACTAGCTCACTCAATTAACTTAATTAGTTAAATAACTTGATGAGGTATTGATTAGCCAAACATGTTATGCTGGTGGCTGAGTCAACACATGCATGGGTATATTGTACGGTTCCTGCAAATACTGAGGTGACTTTAGAAGAGGATTCGAAATAGCTGAGCTGACACACGCTGACAGATGTAAAGTCATAGTTTTACACCAAGCTGAAGATCCGTCCGTCCATCCATCCATCTCCTATACAAATGCCGTCAATTCTCTTTGTCTTACTGGTAGAAACCAGCTCACAGGAACGTCCAGGTGCAGCCATAGCAGCAGAAGGTGAGCTATCAGGTCCACTGAGGCATGGGGGGGGGGGGGTCTCTGCTGTGAAAGAGCTACAGGCTCTTCCCACCCCTGCCCCCTCCCTTGCCTCTCCTTCCCACCCCACCCCACACCAAAGCCGTTTATCCCGATCATCTGCTGATTCTCTGCCACCTGAAATCGCGAGCATGCTTTCCGTCACCCTCCCTCGGCTGCCTAAACAGCCTCTGCTCCCCTAAAAGTCCCAGACTAATTAGCACCCAGGTTCTTGTCTCGCTCCTTAACGAACCCAGTGAGGAGTTAAGCGGGAGGCGCAGAGCGAGAGCGCGAGAGGAGGAGGAGGTGTGCTGTGAAAAGAAACAGGAGAAAGAAACTGACTGAAGGACAGACAACAAACCAGAGGTGTGGGAAGGGGGGTGCGGCTTGGGACAATCAGCTGAATTTCAGGGGTGTTTTACTAGAGTTTGTGTTAAATTTTATTCTACTCCGGTTGAATTAATGTAGAGAGGAAAGGGGTCAGATAGAGGGGGTTGAAAAACTGAAAGAAGTAGAGAAAGGGAGGGAGAGGGACACAAGAGGGACTATACAGAGAGAGAGAGAGAGAGAGAGAGAGAGAGAGAGAGAGAGAGAGAGGGGGCAAAGGCACCAGCAGGGCAGAGGGCCGGGAGGCTGGCAGGGGGAGGAGAGGGGCGGATCTGATGAGTAGGAATTTGCACTGCAGATTTATCACTGATATTGATTAGCACACGGGCAGCACTTAACACCCCCCACCAAGCACTGAGTCAACACTGAGAAATTACTGTTTATTTACACAGCACTCCACACCCATAAATTACACACACAGGCCCTGCTAGGGACACACACACACACAGACACACACACAGACACGCACGCCCCCTGGCACAGCGAAAGGCACAGACAGCAGCACGGTCACACACACACACACACACACACACACGGGCCGTCTGTCTGACACCCATCATCAAACTAACTAATGCAGTTGCACCCTGTGATTTTTTTTAATCGCAGAACTTTTAGTAGAATTAAGTGTCAACTTATACCACCAAAGCTTTTATGAAATACATAAAAATGAAAATGGCGAAAGGAACGGGAAGTTTCATTACCCCGCCGCTGCCGGCCAGGGGTCCAGCTCGGACCAGGAAGTGACGACACGGGGACATGCTGCAGCTTTCAGGAAGCTGACCTGCAGTTACCCAGCAGGCCTATAGGAGGCGTGATTTGGGGCAGTGTGCTTACATACCATCTGTCCATCTAATGTACAGTGCTCAATGAAAGTCTTGGGACGCTTGCTTAATTCAGTAAAAATATTGCCAATTTATTGGTTTTATAACAAAAACCATTATTCTTTTGTTTACAAAAAATATATATCACGTTGGAAACAATCAGTAATTTTAAGTAAATTATTAATTAAAGTAGTAAAAAATTGAAACCCAAATTATAGTTCTAAAAGAGCTGTTCTGAGTTAAAAAGTTCATTGGCAAGCAGTCTCATTAGGTGATTTTTAATTAGTAACATGTTTGCAATAACATAAAACGCCAAACATTTGTGTTTAGTGTCCCTTTAGGAGCCAATGGCTACAATTGCATCAAAATGGCAAGAACAGAACTGAATGAGTCAGTCAAATATATGACACAATAAAAAGAAACCATCTGTGCGGAAGATACATGAGGATATGTTAAACATTGCTTGTCAATGTACTTTTGTAACGAAACCAATAAATTTGTAACATTTGTTACAGAATTAAGCAAGTGTACCAAGGTGTCCACCATTTGTGGACATGTGTTTTACATCTTCAAATATATGTATACAATTGCAGCCAACTTATTCTTAAAATAAGTGTGTGCCATTTAGATTTATGGTCCACCCCTCCCTGCCCAATTAAGTTACACCCGTACCCCAAATTTTTTTATTTTTGGATGTTTTTCATCCGTTACATGGAAACCTGTGGTTACCCGTCGAGTACCTGCGGGTACCTGAACCCGTGCAGGACACTGACCCGTCTTCTGGCTGCAGTCACCACACTATCCGACAGTGATGCGTAACAAACTCTGTCCTTGCTTGTCTCGTTAATCCCGGGGTGCAGGCTGGTTAGACTGTCCTTAATTTACCTGATATCTCTAAATCCAGCAAAAGCTCCAGCTTGGCACGGCTCAGGACGGTCCGATAAGGGACATTACATCAGCTGCATCACGGCTCAGGACGGTCCGATAAGGGACATTACATCAGCTGCATCACGGCTCAGGGACCATTTGCTTCAGAGCCTGGTTCTTGTAATTGAGGCATAAATAAATATATTAATATGCATCAGAATAATTACACTTATTTCATTTTGTACATGTTAATACTTATTTGTTCAAGGTGACAGAAGTGTAGTAAAATGATTTTAGGTGTAAATGAGCAGAGTAATAGCTGAAACATGCATGCGCGCGCATACACACATGCGCGCACAAACTCATACACACACACACACACTTACGAGCACACATCTATACACAAACACACAGGCACGCACGCACATGTAGGGTAAACATACACACACACACACACGCACATACAGACACACACGCATATACAGACACACAGACACACACACACACAGATACTTGTGGCGGCAGCGCGGTGCCTCTGAAAGCACAGAAAGCCCCAACCTTCCCATCTCCGCCGAGCCTTTATGCCTCTTGGTGGTGTAATTGTCAGACGTGTGACGCTGACCTCCATAAAAGCTTGTCCATAATTTTGATTAATGAATATGAGAAATTATCCCTTTTTTATTATTACTTACATGGCATTATAGGCGGGAAGGCTATTATATATAAACTCGCATGACATAATAAACTGAAATTATAGAAAAATAATGTTGAAGTAGCAGAAAAAAAATGACTCTTCAATAGTAAATATTAACATTAGAGCTACTTCAGTTAGACATAATAACCTTAAGTGGCGAATGGAATTCAAGAAGGCTACTAACATTTGATCATTTTAGTTCCTCCTATTATTTGACTCGTCGCGTACAGCCGGGACATTAATTACTGTGTGAGGGTGTGTGTAGTGCCCAGCTTCCTTGCCACTGTACTTCCGTTTGTGTCAGGTCAGCGTGACCCCCGGCAGTCCAGCCCAGAACAGGGACCCCGTTCCCCATTCTGTCCCTCACTGCCAAGCCGCCCGTGCCATATGGTTCTGTTCTCTGGCCCAAGCGGAAACACCTATAACATTGTATTATACGTAATGCAGATCTCAGAAAACTGAGCAGTCTGTCCGGAATCCAGCTTCTGTCGAACCCACACCCTGTTTCAGCAGCGCATCTCACAAATGCAGACATGCACAGAAATAGCAGATGCAGAGTACGAGTAAAACGTGGTCTTACCTCCTCCTCCTCCTAGCAGGGTCTTGTTAGCTGAAACGAAAAATGCAAAAAAAAATTGATTCAAAATCACTCGGACAGCAGGGGAATCGTCTATGTACGAAATGCTTAAAGCGTCTTGAGACTAATTCTGTGAAATGGATCTCAGTGAGCCTTTTTGAACTGACACTCAGACCAACTTAAGCTGGCTTGCTGACTGCTTGCACCCGGAGTGTGTGCTGCTGGGCGTCGTGACCATGGCCTGCTCGCGGCAGGCAGCCAGGGCAGCCCTACGGAGAGCCACCACCACTGCTGTGACACCCTGGCGTGGTGCAGGACCCAAACCAACACAGGGAGGGAGAGGGGCTGTGTGGGGGCAGCCTCATACACAGGGAGACACACACACAGACACACAGAGACACACTGGGAGACACAGGGAGAAATACACACACATATACTCACAGAGAGACACACAGAGACACACAGGGAGACACACACAAAGACACAAGGGAGAAATACACACACATATGCTCACAGAGAAACAGAGAGAGAAACACACAGGGAGAAACACAGAGGGAGAGACAGAGAGAAACACACAGGGAGAAACACAGAGACACACAGGGAGACACACAGAGAGAAACACAGACACACACAGGGAGACACACAGACACACACAGGGAGATACACAGAGAGAAACACACAGGGAGAAACACAGACACACTGAGAAACAGAATCACACAGAAAAACACAGAAAGACAACACAGGGAGACGCACAGAGACACAGGGAAACACACAGAGAGAAACACACTGAGAAACAGAATCACACAGAAAAACAACACAGAGAGAAACACAGAGACACAGTTAGAACCATAGAGAGACACAGAAACATTTAGAAACACACAGCTACACAGAGACACTTGGAAATACAGCCGACACAGAGAGAAACACACAAACTCACTGAGAAACAGACAAGCGGATACATACAAACACACACAAAAACACAGAGAAAGACAAACATACAAACACACACAAACAGAAAAAGAGAAATACACAGACACATTCTGAGAATTACAATCTCACACACACAGAGAAAGACACAGACATCTGGAGACATACAAAATCCACACATGTGCTAACTGACACGCACGCAGGGCTTGGTATTCCACACGATACACGGCTTCCGGCTGGGTGACGACCAGCAGCTACAGCGGCCGCCGCGACGACACACATGTACAGAATTACTGCAGCGTGAAATTAATAATACTTTTTATTTAGCCGTACAGTCAACAATAAAATAAGTAAAAGGATGAGCAGCATCGCAGTAAATCAGCTGGCGACACAGGCGGCCGAGCACAGAGACAAGGGCTGGGCAGTGCTGTGCTGAGGTCGGACGTGCAGCTGTCACGCACACACACACACACACACACACACAAACACACAAACACAGGTTTGTAATTTTATCTTTGTGGGGACTCCCACAACTCCTACCCAGGCCTAACCTTAACCATAAGTAACCAAACAAAATACGAGACTTTTGGCATTTTTAGTTTTTTGATTGCATTCACAGACCTTTGTGGGGACATGAAAAATTGTTCCCACAATGTCATAACTAATATCTAATCCACACGCATGCACACACACACACACGCCTGACATGGACCCTGCAACCTCACTCGCCCAAACTGGCAGCGGGCACGGGAGCCACGTAACCATGGCGACCGCAAAGCTCAAAGCCTCGTTACTGAAATGTAGTTAATTGCGCGTCATGCGAGAGGCAGAAGATCGCTCGGCCTGTTCTCTGCCGGCATGCCCATCCCCCTGACGGTATATGGGAAGATGTGGGGGGGGGGGAGGGGGCTGCAGTGAGCAGGGGCAACAGCAGGGCGCTGAGGGGGGAGAGAGGGCAGTAAGTTGCTGATACCCCAGGCAGTGGATGACGCCATCTGTCTCACCCCGCCTGGCTTTCCACAAGGGACACAAGGCAGGGGAAGCGGAGGGGGCTAGGTACTGTCGTTTGGGCCGACCCATAATGCCGAGCACGGGGCAGAGAGGGCAGCGGAGCGGGAAACTGATGTGGTGCTGATGAGGGACGGGGTATTAAATATTCACTGATTCAATTACTTGAATTATGAATCAAACTATATTTAGCTGCACTTATCATCAAAATATTCACATTTTACAGCAGTCTGGAATCAGTCAATCTAAGAAGCATCATAGAGTATACTGTAAATAAATCCTTATAATGCGATGCGGGACACTTTCTATTATGCAGTATATATTTACCATTTCTGTTTGACTAAATTAATAAAAAAAATACTGGCTTGACTCTGGCGCCCATGAGCTGTGCAGATTGGCAGCACGCGGTTCATCTGCTTCACTGCCGTTCGGATCTGTGCTCATCTCAGACAACTCAGTGAACAACAAGGCCAGTCAATTTGGTCTCATTAAAGTCACTTCGGTGCCCTGAGTTGGTATCGGCGCCGGGGTCTCGCTCGTGCTGGGAACCCGGCTCTGACACACGCAGGACATGCGACACATAGTGCAGAAGCTTACTGCCCCGTGCTGCCCGAGACGGGCCTCAGGCTCACCCTGCACCAGATCAGAATTACAGATCACGGATGAAAGGAGGCATGTTTTTGCGATTTACAACCGCTGAGACCAAGCGGGGAACATTTAACAAGCAGGAGGCTGAAGTCAGGTTCCCTCCAGCTCCTGGCAGGGCGCAGCACTACGGTACAATAAAGGCTGGCCAACCTGTACCTGGTAGGCTGAGAGAGATAGCAAGACTATGGGGACTCACTGGGAAAGCAGAGCGGAGGCAGGCAGGAAGAGCGAGCCCAGCCCAGCCCAGCCCAGCCCCCAGAGAGCTGAACACACATGTGGCACGCTGCGCTTCAGACAAACAGATGAGACATACCAATATACACATTGCATAATACATTGCAGACATCTGACCAAAATCTGCCTATTCAACAGTCTTATTTTCATTCCTACAAAGAGGTAGCCAAAGATTTATATCAGGATAGCTTAAAAAAGGATGACCTGTTAGATATTTAAAAACATGCATTTGCATGAATCACATAAGATTCAGTATGAACCGCACGTGTCGAATGTTATAAATGAAAACACTATTGAGAAAATAGGAGATAAATATACTGTTGCATTAGCAAATGTAAGGAAAAGGTTGTAGATTATTATAAATTTTACAGGCTTTCACCAGATGCAACTGAACTCATACAAAGTACTCTCAGAAGGCAGGTAATTAGATATACCTGCTTGCTAACACAAACTGCTCCTCCAAGCAGCCAATCACAGCTGCAGCTCCATATATGCAGAACACAGGCACGTTCGGTTAGTATAGGGCAGAGCACTGGAACAGCTAAGACGTGTGATCTACGCGATTTTGGACATGGTGTGATTGTTGGTGCCAGGTGAGGTGCTTCCCGCTGCTCAGAAACAGCCACCCTCCCTGTGATATTCACACGCTATCATGACTAGAGGTAACTGAGAATGGCACAGAACGAAATGCATCCATTCAGTGGCATTTCTGTGGCTGAAAACACCTTGTTAATGAGAGGGGTCAGAGGAGAATGGCCAGATTTGTTACAGCTAACAGGACGTCTGCAACTGCACAAAAAAACAGCTGTTCTGCAGTGTACAGAACTGCTTCTCTGAACAAACAACCTGTCTACTTTTGAAATTTTGGAGGCAAAAGTGGGCTCTACCTGGTACTAGCAAGGTGTACCTAACAAAATGACCCTTGAGAGTATTTTAACTACATGGAAATGTATTGGCTTTTGTGGATGGGGGGCATGGAAGCAGAGAAAGAAAAAATGGTGTTACTCAGAAGAAAACAACTGCATATATAAATATTCTGTGTATGTGTGTGTGTTTCTGCGGGCCGCTTCTAACCACCTGGGAGAAAGAGCAATAAGGAAATCTGGAAAAAAGCAAACCTACAAAAAACAACACGATTTTTTCACCTGTCACCGGTGAAAGTCATCCAGAAAACTCTGCACTGCTCGGCACAACTGAGAAAGAGCCACCTCCTAAACATCAAACACGAAATCCCTCATCACCTGACAGAGGCTGAACGGGGGAGAGAATGAAAGGGGGGAAACAGAGAGAGGGAGGGAGGGAGGACCAAGGGGGAGAGAGGGAAAATTCACACAGCGAGAGAGAGAGAGAGAGAGAGAGAGAGGGGAGAGAGAGAAAGAGAGGGATTGGCAAAAGGAAGAGAAACTGCTAGATTTTCGAAGACAAGAATAAAGAGAGAGTTGGTCCAAAGGTTCCCAGTGCCACTAGAGGTAAGAAAACCAGGGGGTGAAGACGGGGAGGAAGGCTGGACATGTTCTATGGCTACCGTTTCAAACTGGGCAAATGGTGGGATGAAAAGGGATGGGGAGATGGGGGGGGGGTGTGCAGGAAAAAAGCTGGATGGAGTTTAAAAAGAGAGAGAGAATCCACCCAGTACAGGCAGACTTGTGGGTTTGGTGACAAAGAATCACTGTTAGAGAGGCTGGGGATAGTGGCATGCAGGAGAGGAGGCGAGGCAGGAGAGGAGGCGAGGCAGGAGAGGAGGCAGGGAAGGGGCACGCTCCCCGCCGTCTGTCTGCTCATGCTTCACGGGACGCTCTGCTGCTGTATCATGCCGTGCTCCTGCTGCGGAGTATGAGTTCTGACTTAAAACGCAAATTCTGCAGTTTATTCATGACAAACTGTCATTCCGAGCTCATTGTAATGGTGACAGTAGTACTATTATAGATTGTACATTGTAATGCACTTGCAAAAGTACACAATACTGTATGTGTGGTAACAGTGCAAAGACTGAGAAATGCCTGTTTATTGACATGTTTAAAGCTGTTCTGATCATTATCAGTGGATGATGGTAATAAGTCAGTTGAAGGAGCGGCAGCCTGCAGATCTCGGAGGTGCCCCTTACCTCAGGCGGCCTCTCGCGGCCCTAACAACCTCTGCTTTCTCTCCACCAGTCCCTCTGTCCCAGTGCCACCTGTTTTCCCCAAAACATCACGCAATCTCTCCTCCCTCTCCGC